GTTCGTGTGTGGGAGGCCGATGACGGGAGGGGGGGGGGAGGAAGGGAGGGGGGGGAGGTTCGTAGGAGTGGGTGGTAGGGGAGGAGGGGGAGGGGGGAGAAGGGGCTGAAGACATGTACAGATGCCCGTGGCTGCGGAGGTGCCCACATAAGGGCTTCTTGTACGGTCCCGCGTGCGTACCTAGTAATGTGGCGGTCTGCTTGATGAATCGAATACCCCCCCCCCTCCCCCTCTCGTCTTCCCCTTCTCCCTTCCTCCCCCCCCTCTTCTTCTCCCTTCTCCCCCTTCCCCTCCTCTAGACCTTCTCCCTTTCTCCCCCTCTTTCTCCTTTCCCTCTTCCTCCTGTTCCCCTTTCCTCCCCTTCTCCCTGTCTCCCCCTTCTAGACCCTTTCTCCCCTTCTCCCCTCCCTCCTCTTCTCCTTCCTCCCTTCCCTTCCTCCTCCCTGTTCCTCTTCTCCCTCCTCCATCCTCTTTCCCTTCTCCCTCCCCCCCTCTTTCCTTCCTTCCTCCCTTCTTCCCCCCTCCACCCCCGCCCATCTTCCCCCCATCCTTCTCCCCCCTCTCTTTCCTCTTTCCCTCTTCCCCTTCTCCCTCCCTCCCCTCTTTCCCCTTCCCTTCCTCCCCCCCTTCCCCTTCTCTCCTCCCTTTCTCCCCCTCTTCCCCTTCTCCCTTTACTTCCCCCCTCTTTCCTTCTCCCTCTTCCCCTTTCTCCTACCCCTTCCTCAATCCCCCCTTCCTTTCACTTTCCTTTTCCCTTTCCCCACCCCCTTTTCTACTTCTCTGACGTGTACTGTTGTACTCTAGTTCGCTGTTCTTTGTCAGAAGTCGTAAAACAGATTGCGACTAACGAGTTTTTTTGTCCATTGTTAATGGTTGGTGCCGTAGTAAATTCCAGTGATGGGTATTTAAAGCTCTAGCTAAGAACAGTTCTTTTTTTTTTTCTTTCTTTCTTTTTTTTTTTTTCTTTTTCTTTTTCGTCTTATGCTCTTTTTTATACATTTTAAACAAATCGTTTAGTCAGGATATTAAAGAGAGAGGAAATAAATCACCACCATTCTTGAATCCACCACAAATTACCGATCACCCTACAAGCTTTTTCTACTCCAAATAGGATTTTTTTATACCTCTTCCCTGCTCACCACTTGACACTCACACCATTCCTCGACCTCACATGACTCACTCACACCTCCTGCAATGAGAGACACTCCTTTCCAGTTCTGAGCGGCCCTTACTTCGACGGAGAACTTGAGATAGGAGCTGTCAGCGACGAGAATTTCCAGAACAGTAATACGAGTTAAATGAGATGTTCTTGTGTAATAATTATTTTGTTGTGTGTGAGGCTTCGGTGCTTCGTAGGATGGTGGCTGGTTAGTGTAATTTTTTAATTTTATTTTTTATTATTTTTTTGTACAATGATAATTTTTTTGGGGGTGGTTGTGTTATTAGTTATTGTTATTTGTTCATTTTGTTGGTTGTTATTTGTTCATTTTTTGTTCGTTATTTGTTCGTTGTTATTTGATGTGATTTGTATTTGTTGTTATTTGGATGTGTTATTTTTGGTGCTTATGTGGTTCATCGCAGATTTGTGTGTGTGTTAATGTTTTTTTTTTCAGTGTTGTTTGATAACTGGAGACGAGAGAGAGACGAGGAGATAGATCGGAAGAGAGAGAGAGACGACCGAAGAGAGACACAGGAGAGAGGAGTGAGGAGCTAGCAGCTGTCCTGCTTCCACTGAGAGAAAGAGAGAGACGGATAAGAGAAAGCAGATAGTGAGAGAGAGGCTGTAGAGCGGGAATTGAGTTTGGTGCTATTTTTTTGTTTTTCGTGTAGTTACGATTTGTTTCGTACAGGACCTCATCGCAGATTTGTTGTATTTTGTAGGATAGCTTGTGAGAGAGAAAAGTGTAGGGACGAGAGACGAGAGAGAAGAGAGCAGAGATTGGGAAAGAGAAGATGAAGTCTCGAAGTAGGACGAGAACTCGATATTGCGATGAATTGTCCCAACCTACACTGAGAGCGGGAAGACACAACACACACACGACACTGGAGAGAGCAGAGCGACACAGAACAGCGAACAAGAGAGACCGAAAACGACCTGAGAAAGAGAGAGACGAAACCATGAGAGAGATGAGGCAGTACAGGCACACAGACCAGACAGAGAACGAAACCGCAGACGAGAGAGAACAGAGAGAGAGGAAAGACAGAGAGCCAGAGGAGAGAGACGAGCAGAGAGAGAAACGAGAGCAGAGGAGAGAGACGAGAGAAGAGAGAGAGAACCCGGTGGACGCAGAGAGAGAGACCAGCCGACGAAGACGCGAGAGACGAAGCGAGAGGCTGAGAGTGACTGATTTGATGATTGAGTTCAGTTCTTATTTGCTTTTCTTGTGCTTAGCGGTCGGGGAGTTGTCTGTATTTGATATGCTGTGTTTTGGTGTCGGTTTTACGAGCTTCGACTTGATCATTACTGTGCTCCAGAGATGGTGTTTTTTTGCTTAACTATGGTTTATTTGGGATTTCCGTGTGTTAGTTTTATGGTTATTGTGTGGTATTCCTGATTGTTTTTTATGGTTCTTGATTTTTTATGATGATTATTTGGTATTTCTTGTGTTTTTTTTATGGTTATGATTTGTGATTTTTATATCCTCTCTGATTCGATTTATCTATGTATTTGCAAAACAATATCTGTGTATCTATGGATGTTTTTTTATTTGTATTACTTTGTTGTTGTTTTTCTCGATGTTCATGTACACGTTTTTCTTTATGTATTGATATATTTAATGTCTTCAGATTTTTTTAGTTTGTGAATCTGATGAAGTAAATTTTCCGACTTTTTCTTGCAGCTGCCTGGGGCTACCATCGCCAAGGGTCCTGTCAAGCTGGATTTGGGACAGCGCTCACCACGGTATGTTTCTTTGTTTGTTTGTTTGTTTTTCTGATTCTCGTGTGTTTGTTTCTGTTGTGTGTTTCTGTTTCTCTGTTTTTTCTGTTTCTGTTGATCTGTGTGTTTCCGTTTCTCATGCGTTTTTCTTCTTATCTGTGTGTTTCTCTTTCTCTGTGTTTCTGTCTTATTCTGTGTTTCTTTTTATCTGTCTCTCCGTTTCTCATGCGTGTTCCTGTCTTTCTGTGTGCGTCTATATTCTGTGTACGTCTGTGGACTTTATATTGTGTATGTGGTTTGCAATGGCGCCCTCGACTGACCCAGCTGTGTTTCGTCTTTTGCAGGGCGGGAATAGATTATACGTCGGCGCCGTTGGAAGCTTTTACTGGCAAGGTAAGTGTTCATAAGACAAAGATTATCATTGTATAGATATTGCATGTAGTTCTTCGTTGAGCCGGTAAGCATTGTCTTGCATATCGGTGTCTTGTCATTTCCCAACTCGCATTTTTTTTTTTTTTTTTTTTTTTTTTTTTTTTTTTTTTTTTTTTTTTTTTTTGACGGGTACTTGCATTTCAATCATGGTGTTAGCGCGGCAGTTTACGAGCATTAAGTGTGGATAATAGCGTATCAGTGAGCCATAGTCAAAGAGAGAGTGGAGAAGTGTGCACAGGCGGGGAGTCTGCACCATATATGAGGCTGTGGCGGCGGCGGCGGCGGCGGCAGGGGTGGAACGGCGTGGCTTGTACCCTGGCGCCACCTCTCGCATGCACGGCAGGAGACTTCGGGTACTACAGCCCCCCGACGCCCCGCAATCCATCACGGGATTCGCGGGATTCCATTGCTCGGGACGTTTCGCACCTTCCCGACTCGGCGCCTCTCTCCCGTGTGGCTCTCGAGGGGCGACGACGCCATCCACGCAGAATCCGTTGGGGGGGGAGAAGAGGCGACCCCTTTGGTGGTGCCTCTCGCTGGGCACGTCGGGCGGGGGGTCGGGGGGGTCGGGATAGAAGCGTGGGTATTTTTTATGGGGATTTCGACGTTGGACCGGGAGTGAAAGGCAAAGGGCGGTTTTCATGCAAATGCCGTGGGTGGCTTTGCGCGCCGGTTCTGTGTTTGCGTGGCACTGGGCCGCTGAGCACTTTTTTTTTTTTTCAAATAATGACCATGTCCTTGTTTGAGATTGTATACACCCTTCTCCCCCGCCCTCTCTTTCCTCCCTCCCTCCCTTCTCCCCTCCTTCCGCCGTCCTCCCCTCCCCTCCTCCTTTCCCTCTCTCGTCTTCCCCCCACGCAACCGAACATAGAAAGATATTGACTCCCCCAGACAGACTTCTTTTCCCTTCCCAGGAAATGCAACAAAAACGCGCCTCCCCCTCCCACCGCCCCTTCCCCCTCCCCCTCCTCCCTTCTCCCCCGCCCGCTTCCCTCCCCCGCCCTTTGCCCCCCCTTCCCCCTTCCCGCCCTCCCTCTTCCCCCCCTTCCCTTCTCTCCCCCTCGCCTCCTTCTCCTCCTTCCCCTTCCTCCCTCCCCTCTCCCCCCTCCCTATCGCTACACCCCTCCCTCCTTCCTTCTCCCCCCTCCTCCCCTTCTCCACCCCTTTCTGCCCCCCCTCCCTTTCCCCCCCCCTTCCCCTTAGCTCCCCGGGGATATCTGCTGCCAAAAAGCACCCTCGCCTCCCCGCGCGACGTCGGGTTTTGTGTGCCCGCCTCCCCCCCCTAAGCTGACCTCGGCTCCTCATCAATTTCAACTGTATAATGACGCTTACGTATGTACCGTGTACGTGTATGATTATGGTGTTTGTGTGTGTGTGTGTGTAAGAGAGAGAGAGAGAGAGTGTGTGTGTGTGTTTGTGTGTGAGCGAGTGAGTGAGTAAGTGTCTGTACGTATGTGTGTGTGTGTGTGTGTGTGTGTGTGTGTGTGTGTGTGTGTGTGTGTGTGTGTGTGTGTATGTGCGCGTGCATTTGAATGTGTGTGTTTCTGTACAAAGATATGCAAGTAAAGTAACATGTACCCAAAGATTTTCTACTGTAGTAATGTTTCAATTTATTATATACACTATATTTACACATACACCGGGTATCAGACGCACGTTTTACACAACAAATAACTACTTGGATTTACAC